GAAGAAGATGCACAAAAGTTTTTAGATCTACTTAACAAACAACACAAAAATATTCAATACACAATGGAATCTGCTGACTTAACCAATACCTTAAACTATCTTGATGTTTCAGTTACCAACAATAAAACCGGTACATATAGTTTTAAAATACATCGCAAAAATGCAATCACAAATGTTCAAATTAAACCGAACTCGTGCCATGACCAAAAAATTATCAATGGTGTCTTTATTGGTTTCGTCCATAGAGCATTACGTTTATGCACAATAAATAACATTGATGATGAGTTGTCATTTCTTATCGATGTATTTGTAGAAAACGGCTATGAGAGGAAAAGTCTGGAAAAACTAGTTAAGTTTACGGAAGAAAGTCTTAACAACAACAAAAAAGATCTCTCGAAAAATCAACATTTTCTAAAGTCTTTAAAAAGAATTGTGTCTTTACCCATGATCCCAGAAATCAGTCCTAAGTTAAGAAGAGCTTTTAAAAAAGCAGGATACGCACCAGTGTATTAGTCTCCAAAAAATCTCCAAAGTCTACTAAGTTCCTAAAATAATCCTACACTACCAGTTAATTCCTTTCCCGGTGTTTACAAATTAAAGTGCTCTTATGGCAAATGTTATGTTGGTGAAACTGGACTAAAGATATCGTCTCGGATATGCCAGCATCAAACAAGTGCACAACAAGGTTAAGGGGAAAATTCAGCTGTAGCTGAACATTCCAAAATTTGCCAAGGAAAATTCAACTGGAATGGTCGCAATACGTTAAAAATTGAAACATATAGTTTTAATAGAAAAGTTAAGGAAGCCTTGGAAATACAACTCAACCAAAGTACCTTTTGCGACAATGGTCTTAATCGAGATGATGGTGATTATGTGACGACGTCATTTTGGAAACCCATGTTTAAATTCTTACGTCACAAAAAACTCACTTGAATAACTCTCTTAAAAAGAAGCTCTTACAAAGAACATTGTTTCGTTAATTTAAACAGTTTTTATATAATATAGCGGTTTTGTTTTTTTATAACCGTTTTTATATACCTGATAACGAGGGTATCCATATTCCCTCGAAATATCCTAAAAATAAATATAATTTTTGCAAATAGAAATCAATCCATAAAAAGAAGTTTTATTTTGAAATATTTATACAAATAAAATCTATTGAAGATGTCAACATTTAAAATATATATACATATATATATATATATATATATATATATATATATATATATATATATATATATATATATATATATAATATATATATATATATATATATATATATATATATATATATATTAGGGTGGGTCATAAAATTTTTTTTTAGTTGCTAACCTGTTGCTATGGTCTAGAAAGTTGTTTTTTTATGTACTAATTTAGGAAAGTATTTACTTTTATGGATTGAACAATGTCTTCCACCCGCAACTATAATTACAAAAATTAGCAGGCCCTATTATTATTCAAAAAAAAGTTTTTCAAAATTATGTGATGTAGGTACTCAAATAAAGCGAAATTTTATAAAAATTTTAAAAATAACAGTTTTTTCATATAAAAATTATTATTTTAGATTTTATTGCATAATAACTATAGTTTTTTAACTAAAAGTGAAAAAGGTGCATTTTTACATGTTTTTTAATAACAATTTTTTTCGGCAATATGATTTTTATAAAACAATTATTATTTTCGAATTTTTTATAAAATTTCTCTTCTTTTGCTGGTACTCAAAAGGTTGACCTATTTTTGAAAAGCTTTTTTTCTCCAAAATATTAGGGTACCGGTAATTTTCCCAATAAAGTTACGCCCTTTAAATCAATATATATATATATATATATATATATATATATATATATATATATATTTATTTATATATATATATATATATATATATATATATATATATATATATATATATATATACACACACACATATATATATGTATATATATATATATATACATATATATGTGTGTGTGTATATATATATATATATGTAAATATATATATATATATATATATATATATATATATATATATATATATATATATATATATATATATATATATATATGTTTATTTATATTTATATATAAATATATATATATATATATATATTTTGGTTTGGGCAGGCAGCCTATCATTTAAAAAAAAATATATTTTTATGAAGTTTTTTAACATTTTCTGGTCAGGCTTATTTAAAACAACAGTTAAAACAACGCGCTCTTTAAAACAACAGTTGATAGAAAAAACTTTGTAATTACCATGCAAGACTATATTTATATATATATATATATATATATATATATATATATATATATATATATATATATATATATATAAACTACTGTGATAATGAAACAACTTAATGAAGACAAAAATTAGATAATTGTTTTTAATATATAAACTACTGTGATAATGAAACAACTTAATGAAGACAAAAATTAGATAATTGTTTTTAATAATTTAAATATATATACAAGTTTCCTTGTGTTGCTACATCGACTATCTAATACAGGGTTCGTACTGTACCTGGAAAACCTGGAAAATCAGCCAAATTTGGATAAAGTCATGGAAAACCTGGAAAAGTCAGGGAAATTTTTTTTTTTTTCTAGGTAGTCAGGGAAAAGTCAGGGAATTTTGATTGAGAAACTACTCGTTTTACAAATAAGCTATTATGTTTCTGTTGGTGATTCCCATTTATTTTGACAATTAAAAAATACACTATAGTGTTTCACACCTTTACCGCGCATATAATATTTTATTTTTAAAAATTTGACCACGGCTTTTTAACTTTTTTAAAACTTGAATATTTTTTAATGTATTTTAATAGGCCAAACGCTCTTATTACTAACAATTGTTTTAAAATATTAATCAATAAAAATATTTTATTTAAATTGTCTATGGTTATTATTTTATTTTTACAATAATAGTGTATGTTTCTTTTTTTTATTTATTATAAAAAAAATAATTCCTTTTTTTTATTTATTATAAAAAGACTAATTTTTTATGATCAATTTCAATCGTTTAAAACTATTTCTGTAATTTATTCTATAAACAACAGCATCTTTAACTTTAAACATTTTTGTGTCTTTAAAGCGAAAAACTTCTTTTTTTATTTTAAGTTACATAAGTTACAGAAAGTTTCAAAGATTTTCAACTTTGTTGAAAACTTTTGAAAGTTTTTATTAAAAAAGTAATGGTTTATGTTCGAAATATAATCAGTAGTTAATAATAAAATATAATTATTAAATATAATCGAAAATATAAAATATAATTATTAAATATAATCGAAATATAATCAGTAGTAAATATGATCAATAGTTATGATCGAAATAATAAACATCTTGATGATTTTTACTTCAAAAACATTGACATAAAAAAGTATCCAGAGTTGTCATCTGTCATTAAGTTGGTTTTGACTCTGAGTCATGGACAGGCATCAGTTGAACGGGGGTTTAGTGTCAATAAGGATGTGGTTACCGATAATATATCAACAGATGGTATTGTTGGACAGCATCTTGTGCGTGATTTCATGCTTACAAACAACCTCAACCTCTACTCTGTCCAGATTACATCAGAAATGAAAGTTGCCTTTAAATCTGCTCATCAAAAATACCAGATCATGCTTGAGGAAGAGAAGTCAAAGAATAAAAAACATGCTATGTTAGATCAGAAAGCCATTATTTTGTCTGAAATTAAAGAGCTAAAATCTAAAATGGGTTTCCTTACAAAAACTTCATTGATGTTAGAAAAAGAGTTTGTCTTAACTGTGGAACAAGCGGAAAAAGAAAACAATTGATCATTGGTCAAGCGAGGAGAAAATGAAAGACGTAGCTAAGTTGCAGGAAACATTATTGATATTAGAAGAGAAGAGAAAGAAACTGAATTAACAATAGTTGCTTTTTGACAATTTGTTTGTTTATATAAAATATTATTTATGTTGACATTTATGCAAATATGGCTAATTAAAAAACTTTAATTATATTTTCAATATAAGATTTTGCTTAAAAAATATATGCGATTTAAAATTAATTAAAAGTTTTTTTTTTATGTTTCTAAGCATGTTTTGTTATACTGTGCTATTTTTATCTAAAGGTATTATTGAATTAGCGAAGGTACAGCTACAAATATTGATAAAAAACAACTAACCCAAAGTAGTCTCTGTTATAGACCAAATATTGCTCAAAATGTTGAAAGATAACTACATGGACATTTTAGTTTATTTCTGTGTTAGTGAAAAATAATTATACATAAAATATTTTATGTGCATAATATTTAGATTTTCTTGAAGATCATCTGAAACTGAATTTTATGTGCATAATATTTAGATTTTTTAAGAAGCTCACCTGTTGTTTATTCTTAGTCATCCTTAATAATATGCATAATAAAATCTATACTAACATCCAACTTAACTAATAGCTAAGTTTTATAAGTTTTGTCATTTTAAGCATGTACATTTTAGCATTTTCATTACAGTAGTAATTTTTAACATTTTATAAAAACCATTGCAAATGTTAAAAATGGTCAGGGAAATTCATCTGATTTTTCAAAAAAGTCAGGGTAAAGTCAGGGAAATTTTTATAAATATGTGGCTACGAACCCTGTAATAGCTTTTAGTGGCCCTACGACAAGAAGTGTTAGGATATGATCTGAAACAATGGGAATGTATTCTAATGTAAATAAAACTTTAGAAAGGAATAGCTACAAGTTTTTGAAAGCTAAAAAATAAACAGCATAAAATGAAATAAAATAAAACATATGTTGATTATACTGAGCTATTTATTAATTTCATTTTAAATATTGGTTCTCAATAAAAATATTTTAAAAAAAGGTAAAACTTTTATCAAATAACTGGAAACATTCTAGTTATTTGATAAAAAATCTTTAATTTCTCACAAAAACTTCAGGATTACTTATCTTAAATGTTAGTGTCACCTCTGATATTCAGACAGCAACATTTGTAAAAAAGATTTAAAAAAAAACAACTAATTTTTATATTTTTTTAGATAGTTAACTTGCGCACTATTCGACCTCTCGATATTGATACTGTTATAAAGTCTGTAAAAAAGACTCACCGTTTGATAACAGTTGAAGGAGGTTTTCCACATTTTGGAGTAGGTGCTGAGATATGTGCTCAAGTGATGGAAAGTAAGTTTTTAATTAGAAATATATTTTTGGGTTTGAGTTCAAGGATTTTGAGCTTAATAATAATAAAGGTTTGTTTGAGGGATGCATTTTTTAAATAGTTCAACCAATATGAATGCGCACAAGCCTTAAAGAAACACATCCACAGTAATTATACGTTTTTTAAATAGTTCAACCAATATGAATGCGCACAAGCCTTAAAGAAACACATCCACAGTAATTATACGTTTTTTAAATAGTTCAACCAATATGAATGCGCACAAGCCTTAAAGAAACACATCCACAGTAATTATACTTTTTTTAAATAGTTCAACCAATATGAATGCGCACAAGCCTTAAAGAAACACATCCACAGTAATTATACGTTTTTCGACTCAGACAAGAGGCTTAAACTTGACTTTAAACTTGAACTCGCACCATCTTGATTTTTAGTTTCGGTTTTTAGAATTTAAATTGTTATTATTATTTTTGATGTTATCATTTTTTTCATTTGTTATCAATTTGTGATAATTTTTTTTTTAGCTGAAGCATTTGATTATCTTGATTCGCCTGTATATAGAGTGACCGGTGCCGATATTCCCACACCATACGCTGCTAACCTCGAAGTTAATTCACTTCCTCAATCTCACAACGTTGTAAGGACGGTTAAAAAAGTACTTGGTGTCGAATAACAACAATTTTAATAGCAAATTTAGTAATAATAATAGCAAAATTAACGTACACGTCGCACGATTTACTAATTATTTAAGTATCTATGAAATTTAAAAAAAATTTTTTTTACTTGTGTTAATTTATAAAAATGTTTTGCATTATCACATTTTACACACAAGTTTAAGTTCTTTTTTATCACACAACGTCACAATTTAAGTTCTTTTTTATCATAAAAAGTATTTAATTTTTGTTTCAACTAATTTTTTTTTTTTTTTTTTTTTTTTTGTTTCAACTAATTTCTTTATTTCTCTATTAAATTAATTTTTTTTGATTTGCTATTTGAGAGCAAAAATACATTTATCTTTTTAATCCACGCGACGTGTTGACTTATTTAAATGTATAAACAAAATCTCTTCTCAAATACTTACATAATACAGATTGTTTATGATTTTGTTTTGAATCGCTTCAGGTGTTTATAAATTTGCTAAGAAAGCAAAAAAACGCTTACGGAACCCGATTTGCTTTAGTCATTTTTGCTTAATATTTAAATAAAGGTTTACCTCTTGCAAAACAAGTAGAAATTATGGGATAAAAATTCTGATAAAATAAAATTATAAGAAATAATATAACATAAGCTTAAAAATATAGTTCAAATGGAAAATTCCCGTGCAAATCACAAATATTAGACTAGTTATTTCTGGTTTAAAAACCTCAAAGAAAGTTTTTTTTTTAATTGTTTTATAAAGACAAGACTTTTTGATAGTGTTATTCTCATTTCCAAATAGCATTTAATATTGAACCAACCTTCAGAAAGCTTACATTTCTTTTTAAATACTTTTTAAGTTCTTTTTTCTTGTTCAATTCAAACAAAATAAAGGAGTTTAAAAGAGGTACACGAGTTAAATTTTCTAAAATATTAAAGTTTAAAAGAAGTGTATGAGTTAAATTTTGTAAAATATATCAAGATTTGTGAAAACCTTTTTACAATATTATATACAGAGAGAAAAAACTTCTTTTCAATATTTTCAATAAAGTAATGACACCGTTCTTAACTGTTATGACATATCTATTAATCGATAAAAAGTTATGACATTTCGATTAATTAATAAAAATTCACAATCTTTTATTGGTTCTAATAATTTATAGTAAAAAAGATTAGTATGAACATTTCTAAAATACTATTTTACCGTGACATTTTAATTCTAAAGGATTAAAATTTTTAATAAAACTACTGTGCATTATTTTTAAAACTTGTTTTGTAGATTGAAGTTTGATTGGCTTCAAAGTTTTTAAAATAGTCAATCAATTTTAGTAACAACATCAATTTTTTAAAAGCTGTTAACCTTCCTCTTTTTATTTCAAACCTCAAATAAATATAGGAATTCAGTTTCAAAAGATTGAAAATTAACTTTTTATGATTAAACGCAAAATTTTCTACGAAAGCATACTGGTAATGTTCTTTATTTGCCCAATTAAATAAATCAATAGATTTCAATAAAACGGTGCCTTCATTAAGTAATTGTTTTATGAAATTATAAATGAATGAAACTTGCAGTGCTTTTTATTTGCTTTTTTATTTTATTCAGACTTATTAAATGACCTATTTAATGATTCAGATAAAACGGTGACTTCATTTACCAATTGTTTTATGAAATTGTGAATTTGGTATATGATTAACAAGAGTTTTTCTGTGCTATACTATGCGAGGATCAGTTATTTTAATTTTACATCCTACTTTTTTTGCATTTACTTAAAAATGTTTTAATTACTTTACAAATAATCAAATCTAAAGTTAAGTTGAAATGTTTTGAAAGTAAAAATGAAATAATGTATATATTTTAACAAAATTAGTTCATGACTTCATCTGTTTTGGAGCTGAAGATCCAGCTTCATTATACTGTAAACTTTCTTGTTTCAGTTTAAGATCATGATGGAAGATCCAAATCTCATCGATAGTTATAAAACAACGCACAATTTTGGTTTTATTCTACTTAAAACCTTTCAAATTAAAAATTTATTTTCAATTCAGTTTTTGTTGAGTTGTTAACGAATGCAACACTTTCTGAACAATAATAACTTTTTTATATTTAATTTTTTGTGTAAAAAATGGAGTACTCGTTTCTCTGAGATGCCTACGTTATTTAGCAATTTCACGTTTAGTTGGTAATTTGGATTTTTTCAAGCAATATCATAGATATCAATGACTTTTAATGTTGTTGCATTTTTGGACATCAACTATGTAGTTCATCTTCAACGTTTGAACGACCACGTTTAAACTTTAAAACCTAACGGTGCACACTTGGAAACAAAGGAACAGATTCTATTAACACTTTCATTCTTTTTTTTATGCATTTCTGTCGCTTATAAACCTTCCAAATTAAAGAATTTTTTCTGTTTTTACTGCACAACATTCGGTTTTTTTTATTATAACAAAATATACTGTAACCATAACTTGTAACCTTAACTTCAAATAGCTTGTAACGTTAACGTCAAATAGCTTGTTACGTTAGCTTCGAATAGCTCGTAAACAAAGAATGAGTTTACAATTATTAATCGCATACTGGTAATGTTCTTTATTTGCCCAATTAAATAAAAATAATTTTACAAATTATCAAGAGTGAAAAAAAAAATTTCAAAAATATTTATATATATATTGCCAGTAGAAAGAACATTGTTTTTTGATTTAGTTTTAAAAACGGAAAACGAAATTGACAAATCAAAATTTGGAACAACAATTTTGTTCTATAAATACGGTGCTCGATAGTTTATGCAAAATTAATTAAACTTTGTTTGACAAAAGGGTTCAATTAATAAATTATTATTTCATAAAGCATATTTGTTTATAGCTTTATAAGTAAAAAGATCTTTGAAATTGGACAATGGTTGTTCACTTTTACAACGAAACATAAAACATAAAGTATTATAGACATTGAGTTTGTAAACGTTAAGCGCTTTAACGTTTTTAAATAAAACATTTGAATGAGAAAAACGATTTTCAAAACATATTAAACGCATTGCGTGTTTCTGACGATGTTAGAGATTTCGTAACTTACTTTTAGAGGTACTTCCCCAAACAATATTCGCATAATTTATATAGCTATGAATAAATGAGTTGTAGAGTTAAATTAAATTTTGTTTACTTAGATAGTATCTGACCTAATATAGAATTCCAATACTTTTAGCCAATTTAGTAGAAAAAAAGTCGATATGATACTTCCATGTAATATTTTCATCAGTATAAATGCCTAAAAATCTGGTGACCGATTCCTTTTTTATTTCAATTTTATCAATAAAAAGTTTAGGTAATTTATTTAGTAAAAACGCTTTTTTGCAAGAGAGCGGAAAAGAATCCATTTTGTTTTGTCAGTGTTTAAAGTTAATTTGTTGCACTTAAACCAGTTGGAGATGTGATTGAGTACTTTATTCATATTTGAAAAAAACTCATAAATGTCACTGTTTGACAGAAATAAATTATTATCGTCCGAAAAATTAATACTCATAAGGATAGAAGCTTTATTTAAATCATTTGTATAGACTAAAAACAAAAGTGGGAATAAAACCTAGAATAAAACCCTGTGGAAAACCACATTTATGTCAATTAATTTTTCATTTTGAAAATAATCTCCATAGAAAACAAATTGTTTTTTATTTTTCAAGTAATTGTTTTCTATTTTTTTTAATTTGCCAATAATTCCGTAAAACTTGAGTTTTTTAAATAGAATTTTGTGATCTACTGTGTTGAATGCTTTTGATAGGTCTATGAAAATACCTAATGTATATTGTGATCTACCAAATGAATTGGAAATTTCACGAATGAACTGTGTAATGGCTTATTCAGTTAAACAATTTTTTAAAACCGAATTGATTTTTACATAGAAGTTTGTTTAGATTAATGTAATTGTATGTTCTATTGTATATAATTCTTTCTAAAATTTTTGAGAAAGTTGAAACACTAATAATAATAAAGACTAATAATAATAAAGACTAATAATAATATAATAAAATACTAATAAAATAACTAAGTAATAATAATTTACTATTAATAAAATAATTAAAAATAATAATAAAGATATTATTAGGATTTAATTTTTTTTTTTTTAATTCTTTAATTTTACAACTTTGTGATTTAATAAAAATTCGTTAACAATTTATATATATATATATATATATATATATATATATATATATATATATATATATATATATATATATATATATATATATATATATACTCTTGCATGTCTCTTGCGTGGCATCAAAAAATGTTTCCCATAAACTGTAGTTTTAAAGAGCGCGTTAATAAACCAGACCAGAAAAAGTTTTAAAAATTAAATTTTTTTTTTTAATTGATAGACTGCCTGGCCAAACCAAACCCTCAGTCGATGTAGCAGCACTCTCTTGCGAGTCAGGCTATTTGTCAGTCGTTGTAGCAGCACTCCCTTGCGAGTCAGGCTATTTGTCAGTCGATGTAGCAGCATTCCCTTGCGAGTCAGGCTATTTGTCAGTCGATGTAGCAGCACTCTGTTGCGAGTCAGGCTATTTGTCAGTCGATGTAGCAGCACTCTGTTGCGAGTCAGGCTATTTGTCAGTCGATGTAGCAGCACTCCGTTGCGAGTCAGGCTATAAGATAGTCGATGTAGCAACATTTACGCATGTTTAAAAAATGTTTTTTATTGAATCAATAACAAAAACACCACTAATTAAAAAAAATTTCTAGTCGTTATAATTGCGGTTTTTTAAAAATTTTTTAAAAAACAATTAAATTTAATGTAATTCCGCATAAATTAATTGCTTTGACATTTCAATGACAATCAAAAACAGCTTAAGAGACGAGGTAATTAAAATTGTAGTCGTAAGAGACTTTTTTTACATTAAAATGCTCTTAAAGCTACACTATATGGGTATATGTATATATACATATATATATATATATATATATATATATATATATATATATATATATATATATATATATATATATATATATATATATATATATATATGTATATATATATATATATATATATATATATATATATATATATATATATATATATATATATATATATATATAT